TTCCATAAAATGCCTGTAACGTAAATGCATATCATATAAATATATTCAGATCATTTAAAAATAGGGGTTATGCACCGGGGCTTGCCTTGGGCAGGCGCGGTGTCAGCAAAGTCAGTGACGGGTGGCTCCGGAACGTCCTCCTGCACGAGGATCTCCTCGTACTCTTCGATGACTTCGTCGTACTCTTGCTCGCCGAATGTCACGATCTCCAGTGGCTCGTCCTCTATATGCATGCAGTGATGATGATGCAATAATTAATATATAGGCAACTGCAACTCTTAAAATAAGAATACATCTACCAAGCTACTAAGCTAACTCTAATGACTAATACGCAAAGTTACCTATTATTCCCACTAAACAAGTATGAAACATTTCATGTATTATCTTAGCAACTAAAGACATCCTTATTGTTAATATCAATTTACTATATATATATATAATAAAACAAGGTGCACTAGCTACCATGCATCATAAAAAATTTATTCTCTAAATAACCATAATAAGCATTTCAAAATAATAAAGTAACCCTAAATGTATCACTGAACTATACGAACTAATTACACTAACAGATAGATCATGAATTTAGAAATCTAACAAAATTTATTTCACAATCAATAAATAAATTCAAATGAGCTCTAGAGATGAAGAAAACGATATTATTGGAGGAGGCCAATTAGCTTGATTAACCAACTGATCTATTCGCACCTTTGCGTGTTCTTGGAAAAGGTAGAACACGAAGTGGTGAATCGGATGTGAGATGCTGGTTACTTGATTTGAGAGAAGTGAATGATCAGTGGAGCGAAACAGCTCGATGGCTCGGCATGTCCTTATAAAGGCAAAAGACGCGGGGATGGAGAAGCAAACGGTTCAGTATCGAGTCTAGTGGGCTGGAAGCACGGAACGAGTCGACAGAGTTGTCCTCAGGCCGTGCCGTGTGCGGTGGTGTGAACAGTGTTTTTCTGTGGGCTACAGCTCCATAACCAGGGATCAGCTACAGTGATGTACGGTGCACTGTTTTAGACTGTCGCTCACAAATTCTGAAGGCCAGATGTGTGTGCGCGTGCTGTGAGCCTGCGACTGTGAGCTTGGACTTGGAGGAGGGGTTCATGTGTTGCTGGGTATTTATAGATGCGTGTGGTGAGCCGGTGAGTCAGCTTGGTGTGGCTGCGTGTAGAAAATTTCCGAGCAATCCCACAGGATCGATCATGCGTTCGTGTTTGGCATATGCTGTGGATGAGGATGACAACCAGGCCTGCTGCCAGCGACTTAGATATACATGCATGTTCAAAGTCCATGGCAGATAGCAGAGAAGCAGCTGAAACTTGGAACGAGTCTTGTCTCCCACTTTATTTCCTTGTATGTGTCCAGTTGCAACAGCTCGGAGAGATTCCTAGGGAGCTGTACGTACGTGAAAATTACAATAATGATAGAGATGCGAGGGGGAGTCATTAACGGTTGGATCCCAATGCAGTGCACAAGACGTTGTGAGGCCGACCGTCGTCCGAGGAAAATGACCAAAGCTTCCGCTACAGCTGAAGACGTGCTCGACGGGCTTGACTATTTTTGCATCCAGGACGAGCTTGATGACACCTACCATGCCGCCGACGTGCACGATGGGGCTGCGGGTGAAAAGTACTTCCCACGTGAACAGTGTTTTTCACGTGAACAGAGTTCCTGAGCTGCTACAGTGCTTGCTCCGACGCTACAGTGTTTTCTACGGGCTGCACATTGCTGCAGTCTGCGTGACGTGCTGAAGGGGCGGTGGACTAGACTTTCCATGATTATGAGAGGGAAAGGTGCTGGTGCCTTCATGTAGGTCAAGAGGTTAAATGGCGGAGAACAGCAGAGAATGTATCGCAGTTGCTTTCATATGTCTACAGTGATGCGTGAGGAAAGGGTGCGTGCACTGATAAATTAGCAAGGTGATTAGCAAGTGAAGTAAAGGCGGGATAATTAGAACAACAAGAGATGACAGAGGCGCGTCGTGAGATTGATGGAGATATAAATCTTGCCAAGTGGTATGCTAATAATTAGTGAATGACAATAATTTATTATTTGACTTTGTGGCTAAGGAGCTCTCACGTGGAGAGAGATGACGTGCTGGAAGGACAACTTGGACAAGGAATAAATTAGAGCTCAATTTGAGAATTAGTGCAATAAAATTTAATTTCTCATTTACCACATGCAATAATACATAAACATGATGCTCATGACATGGTTTAATATTTTGATTAAGGCGTAACACCGAGGGTGTTACATTCTACCTCTTATGTGTTAGTCTTTGCCAAAGGTATAATTTGTTCTCAAAGCTCAAGCAAGACAATTGGCAAATATCAAGCAAGACGACTCAATAAGGTTGACCCTTAATTTTAGTGTTTCCAGCATGCAGACCTGAAATTAAAAAGTGGCTGCTCCTTGAGAACATCAGTGGTGCAAAATAAAATATGTGCAGGTTATACATGGTGAGACTGGTGAACCTTCTGTAATTTTCTAAACGAATATTCCCACCATTAGTATATAAGTCCATTCCCCTGCGTTTCTTCGTACTCCCATTAGCATATAATATGAAAGTATTGTTGTGTTCATCACGACTTATAGTTGACTACTCCTATTAGCATATATTTCCTCTGCCCTAAAATATAAGTCGTTATGGCATGCGTGCATGTCAAACTTTCTCAACTTTGATTAGGTTTATAAAAAATACGTGCAACATTTATATCTCCAAATAAGTTTATTATGAAAATATATTCAATGGTCTATGTAATGATACTAATTATGTATTATAAATATTAATATTCTTTTATATATAATTGGTCGAAGTTAAAAAAGTTGACTTCTCGGGAAGCGAGAATGAATTCTATTTTGGGACAGAGGGAGTATACGAAAGCAGTGTTGAAAATATTTTAAGAATCAAGTTCGTCTCTGTCTGATTAGTAAGCTTAGACATCATAATGGCATCAAAAATTTCGACTCTCATAGACACTCTCATGGATCAGTACAAAGCATCCTAATCCTACAACATACACAAATGGCAACCTTAAGGTTATGATATTTTCAAAGGGTGGACAATAAAGACTATCTTAGACGTTCTGGCACTAGAGTATATACGGGCAGGCACATAGGCATGGTGGTGCAAGTGAGCAACCAGCAGGAGTCGAGAGTTAGGGGGTGTTTGGATCCCAGGACTAAACTTTAGTCACTGTCACATTCAATTTTTAGATATCAATTAGGAGGACTAAACATACGCTAATTATAAAACTAATTACATAAGTTGTGGCTAATTCGCTTGCTAGCGCCGTGTACAGGATGGTATGGAGATGTGGTGGAACTTATTCGTGGATTTGTTGGCGCACGAAAGAAACGGATATCAGAAATCTCTTCCTGTCGGTATAAGAAATGATCTTAGCCGCATCACGGAAAGATCTACACTATAGAGTTTGTGAGCCTGCGACGCCACGCTCTCTGTGACTATGTAAATTTCACGAACTTAGCTTTTTGGATTAAATGTCACTTTAACGTCGGTCATATACTTTTACAGTATTGTTATCTTATAGTACGATCCGTGTGTTTTTAGTACAAAAGTTTAGCTGTCCCGTATCAACGCACGGGCACGAACCTATTTGCATATATATTCGAACCTGTGTGTACATGATTATATGGAGATGCAGCGGAACTTACTCATGGATTTATTGGTGCATGAAAGAAATGAATATCGTAGAATTATTTTTGCCAATATAAAATATTATCTTAGCCGTATCACGAAAAAGTCTATACAGTAGAGTTTGTGAGCCAGCGACGTCGCGCTCTCCGTGACTATGTTAATTTCACGAACTTTGCTTTTTGAATTAAATGTCACTTTGACGTCAGTATTTAATTTAACAGTATTGGTATCTTATCGTGCGATCCGTGTGTTTTTAGTACAAAAGATTTAGTTGTCCCGTAACAACGCACGGACACGCTACCTAGTTAACAATAAAAAGAGACAAAGATCTAACAAATTCATTTTGGTGGGTCAAGTTATCAGTGTATAGCCTAATTATACTCATACAAAGAGCAGATGTAGATGGCACAAAGTCCAGTGAAATACCATACAGCTATAAGGGATTCATGTGTTTTTGGAGCAAACTCGAGGGTGATATGGCAAGTGGAGCCGGCCCAAGGCCCACGTGGTACTGTAGCGCATGAACAGAACCGTGTTAACCGTGCCCGGCAGATTAGATTAGATGGATTTGGTTTGTTAGGAAAGGAATAAGATAGATTGATTTGGTTAGGATATTACTTAGGGGTCAAGTAAGTTGTCTCTATAAAATGGACCATCATGTATGAAGAAATCCAAAGATAGTCCCGAGGAAGGGCGGCTATCCGGGGTCTCTCTGCTAGCCTTTTCATATCAGAGGGGTAAAACCCCTAGTGATATATATGTTAATAAAAAGGTAAAGATGTACTCAAAGAGAAGGCCCATATTAATATCAACTGTGCAGTTGTACAGGATTCCAGTCAATAGTAAATGCTAAATTATTGGTTTGTTGGAAACAAATCGTGGTAGGAGATAAGTTCTCATGGTTTGGAGTTGGCATGTTTTAGCTAGGGAAAGCAAGATCCACTGTATAAGGATCTTGGGTTTGCTGTTGAGGCACATCTCATGTGAACAAGAATATTCTGGCCAGCTCATTTTTCTCATAATGATGTTGAACACAGGAGAACGTGTATTTGCATACAGTTCAAATGATATTGACCTTAGTTCTTGTTTTGCTGGCCTTTGCATGATGTAAAACATAAAGCCAACACAGGCAAGAATGCACACCATATAAAATTAATCACAAGAGAGACGCCAGCTGACAACATGAAATGGACCAAAAACTGTCTCTCAAATCTCAATTGAGTAATTTTCTGTACATTTTCTCTCCTATATATGTACACACAAAATTGTTTGGATGATCAGCAGATCCTCTAAAAGGCGGATGCTAATCGCAGGGGGTCAGAGTTGTTGTATGATCTGTCTACAAGCTAAGAGCATTCAGAACAGACACTCTGCTCTGGATCAACGTTCTCAACAATGTCCCAACTCTGCTCTCAAGATCAACAATGTCCAGCTCCAACCCTTGCAATTGCTCCGCCTTGCATACGACACTCTTCTTTTGGAACGACTTGGAGATGAGTGACCACTTGCTAGAACTTGGAATCGCAATTTGCTTCGACAGGAGATGCAATGTCAATTCAAGGATCAACACGGCAATTTCCCTCGCTTCAGCGACCAGATTGATCACCCTGCATCCTTGTATGTCAGAGGCAGTCTTATTGTTGACCTTCTTGAACAGCTTCTGCGCCTTCTTAGCTGAGCGGGCATAGCATTGAATCTTGGTCAGAAGAGCCGCGTTGTCTCCTCTTTTGAAAGCCAACTGCATCTCCTGGACACTGGCCTTGAGTTCCAGAAAGCTCTCTTGCATGGCGCTGCAGAGGTCAAGCAGGGCGACGGAGCGCTCCAGCTCCTCCTCCACTGCCTTCCTCTGGCTGCTGGGCAGGCATGTGAGTGCATCTATGTGGTTGTAGATGCTCCCGAGCTTGCTCAGACCATCTACCATGGTTTCAATGGTCGCTGAAGGCAGAGAGATAGTTGCTTTCAGGCTCAGAATATGTTCCTCAACAGAGGTCTCGCTGGAGCGAGGGCTCAATGGCATGCTAGCAGATCTCAGGTGGCAAGCCATCCTTGGAATTGGTGAAAGTTGTGAAACGCTGAAACTTTTGGGAGTGGGAGAGAAGAAAGATCAAAGGCAAGCTGCTGCAATGGTGTCTTCCAAGCTTCGGCTTCCTTGTTTATATAGCGACGAAGGTGGACGCAACTACAGAGCTGAACCAGCAGACAGGGAGAATCGGATGCAACTGCAGAGCTGAACCAGCAGACAGGGAGAATCATTCTCATGTGCGAAGAACTGCGTGCTCATGCGCTGCAACCAAAGCCAAATAATAAAAACTGCATTGGCCATTGAGCTTGATTACGAGGCTGTCATGTCTGCGCTATGGCTGGCAAGCTCGCCTGCACGGATGAAAGGGCGTCGAGATTAGCATCTGATCTAGATGGTGAGATGGATTAATTAGTATGCAAGTTGCTGGTGGAGGGGCGAACATCCAGCTGACTTCACCTCCCAGCTCCAGGTTCCCATGCATTCCGATCTGGTGGGTTCTCATATGTTTAAATTGAAGTGAGCATCGCTGACATGCTCACTCTTGTTTGTTAATTGAGACGTGCAACACCTTTGGCAATCTCAAGATGAGCTACAGATGTGTTTTATAATTTTGAGGCTTTGGTAGAGCATGTTGTGCTCCTGTTGTCTGCAACAAATCATGACAATTCAGTCTAGCGCATTCGTGCATCCTCATGGATGGAGCAGTGTTGGTCTCATGCAGGTCATCTGGTTGCTAAACACTTATTTTAATGAATTTGCTATGTATCATTCAAGTGAAATCTTGATGAAATTAATGAAACTTTCTTACCTTCGGGTTCACTAGGGTTCACTCTGAAGATCCCTGCTCTGAAAAAAACAATTATAAGAGGCTAGAAGAAACCATATTAATAAGAAAAACAAGGACAAAAAGATCTAACAAATTCATTTTGGTGGGAAAAAATATGAGTGTATAGCTTAATTATACTCATACATAGATCAGAAGTAGATGGCACAAAGTCCTGTGAAATACAATACAACTATAACAGATCCATATTTTTTTGGGGAGAAAACGGGAGGGGTAAAACCCCTAATCATTATATATTTAATCAAGGAGATAAAGGTGTATACAAAGAAAGGGACCATATTAATATCAACTGTGCAACTGCACAGGATTCCACTGAATAATAAATGCTAAGTTATTGGTTTCTTGGAAACAAATCATGGTAGGAGGAGATAAATTCTCATAGTTTGGAGTTGGCATGTTTTAGCTAGGGAGAGCAAGATCCACTGTATAAGGATCTTGGGCTTGCTGTTGAGGCACATCTCATGTGAACAAGAATATTCTGGCCAGCTCATTTTTCTCATAATGATGTTGAACACAGGAGAGTGTGTATTTGCATAACAGTTCAAATCATATTGACCTCAGTTCTTGTTTTGCTGGCCTTTGCATGATGTAAAACACAAAGGCATCACGGGTAAGAATGCACACCATAAAATTAATCACAAGAGAGACAGCAGCTGACAACAGGAAATGGACCAAAAACTGTCTCTCAATTGAGTAATTTTCTGTACATTCTCTCAATATATGTACACATAAAATTGTTTGGATGATCAGCAAATCCTCTAAAAGGCGGATGCTAATTGCAGGGGGTCAGAGTTGTTGATGATCTGTCTACAAGCTAAGAGTATTCAGAAGAGACACTCTGCTCTGGATCAATGTCCTGAACAATGTCCCAACTCTGCTCTCAAGATCAACAATGTCCAGCTCCAACCCTTGCAATTGATCCGCCTCGCACAGGACTCTCTTCTTATGGAAAGACTTGGAGACAAGTGACCACTTGCTAGAACTTGGAACCGCAATTTGCTTCGACAGGAGATGCAATGTCGATTCGAGGATGGACACAACAATCTCCCTCGCTTCAGCAACCAGGTTAATCACCCTGCATCCTTCGATGTCAGAAGCAGTCTTCTTGTTGACCTTCTTGAACTGCTTCTGTGACTTCTTGACCAAGCGTGCATAGCAGTGAACCCTGGTCTGGAGTGCCACATCGTCTCCTCTTTTGAGAGACAACTGCATCTCCTGGACACTGGCCTTGAGCTCAACAAAGCTCTCTTGCACAGCACTGCAGAGGTCGAGCAGGACGAGGGAGCGCTCGAGCTCCTCCTCCACTGCCTTTCTCTGGCTGGTGGGCAAGCATGTGAGCACATCGATGCAGTCGTAGATGCTCACGAGCTTGCTCAAACCATCGACCATGGTTTCGATAGTCGCTGAAGGCGATGAGACGGCTGCCTTCAGGCTCTGCAGCTGTTCCTCAACATTAGTCTCGTTGGAGTGAGGGCTCGAAGGCACGCTCGCAGATCTCAGATGGCATGCCATCCTTTGAACGAAGCACTGGAGGTGGAAGAGAAGGAAAGAGAAAATGCAAGCTGCTGTAATGGTGTCCCTTACAGGCTTCGGCTTCCTTGTTTTATATAGCCAGAGAGGTTGAAGGTTGAAGCAACTGCACAGCTGAGCGGCAGACAGGAAGAATCATTCTCATGTGTGACCAACTGCGTGCTCTTGCGCAGCAACCGAAGCCAAGAATCTCATCGCTCATTGAGCTTGATTACGATTATGATTACGAGGCTGTCATGTCTGCATTATGGCTAGCAAGCTCGCCTGCACGGGCCAAAGGGCGTCGAGGTCAGCATCTCCCAGATCGTGAGATTGATTAATTAGCCTGTTATTGTTGCCACCTTGCCGGTGGAGGGACGAACACTAGTTGACTTGGCTCGCCTCCAGCCTCGAGGGTCCCAAGCAATCCGATCCGGTGGGTTCTGCATTGCGCGCTCGCATGGATCTAGCTTGCTATCGCACTGTCATGTCGCAACTAGCGGTGACAACGGATTCGCTTGCCATGGATAAAAATAGAGAACAACAGGGAGAAGAAGGTATGGAAGGGGCAGGTGGGGCTCACCAGAGCGTTGCCGGAGACCGGAGCGCAGTCCTAGGTTGCAGCTCCCACCCCACGAGTTCAGTGGCGAACCCGAGACGGTGGTGGCGGCGACCTTGGGGTCGTCCCGCCGGTGCCCTTGCGCCTCGGCGACCATGGGGACGGCTCGTCGGCGGTGAAGATGCTGGCGCTAAAATGACTCTCCATCCGGAGCAGGGGCAGCAGAACTCGCCGCGTCCGCGACTCCGCCGCCGCCGCCGCCGACCGGAGGGGAAGTGTCGCGACTATGAAACGTGGGGCCTACATTTTGCAAATAGCCCCCTCATTTAGGTAATTAATATTAATCGCGATCCGAATATATTAACATGAAGCACCCCATATAGCCATATCGGATCCGGCATTTTCCAGATTAGTCCCCCATTCCAGTCCGGCGATATCCGCCGCCGGCGACATGGACTTGAGGCTTGCGGGAGAACAGCGGGTGCTCTTGGGTGTGGATGTTCCAGTCGCGCTTGCTCCACCTGGTGTTCTTCCCTGTGCGTCCCTCCGCCAAATCATGCATCCATATGTTTCCTCGGCGTCTGGGGCGCCTTGCTGTGGACGCTCGACGGAGCTCAACGGTGAGAAGCTCCTGTGTTCTCCGCCGCCCATATATTTAGTACTAGAGATTACACATTTTGCTAGGATTGTATGTCTCTTTGCAAAAGCTTGGTAGCTTGTAGTCTAACTTAGTAGAGATTACACATTTTTTTTATGCTTGGCAACATCAGTGTTATTTTCAGTTGGAATGCTTGGCTGTTTCACTGAATATACTGAACTTTTCCTTGGTGCCATGACGAACTGACGAAGTACATTGTCAAGGGGAGAAAAGGATAAGAAATTGTTTATGCTGTTAGGCAATAAATTTCTTTGCACAAATAGGAATACTGAAATGACGACAAGAAATGGATCTAAAACTTTGCTTCTCAATTGAGTAATTTTCTGTACACCTTCTATCATTTTTTTAGATAAGGTACACCTTCTATCATATATACACACATCAAAATTGCTTTCATGATCAGCAGACCCTTTAAAAGGCGGGTGCTAATCGCGGGGGTAGAGTTGTTTATGATCTATCTACAAGGTGAGAGTATTCAGAAGGGAAACTCTGCTCTGGATTAATGTCCTGAACAAAGACTCAACTCCGCTCTCAAGATCAATGATGTCCAGCTCTAACTCCTGCAGTTGCTCCTCCTCGCAAACAAAACTTTTCTTCTGGAATGTCTTGGAGAAAAGAGACCGCTTGGTGGAACTCGTCATCATGGTTTTCTTTGACAGCAGGTACGATGAGGATTCCAGCATTGAGGCAACAATCTCTCTGGCTTCCGACAGCATCTTCGCCACCCTGCAACTTTCTTGATCTGCTGTGGTGGACTTCTTGCTGATTTTCTTGAACTGCTTCTGTGCCTTCTTGGCAACGCAGATGTAAGACTGGATCTTGGCTTGTACAGCATATAGAATCTGAATTTTGCAGTTTTGAAGATGATGTGCATGCCATCAAATTTATTATGCATTGAGTCTAATTGAATTGCACCATCATGTTCCAAGTATTAGTATCAAGAATCTGCATTGAAGCTTACGCTACTACTGGCTACCATCACACTCCCTGACATGCTATCAGTTGTTGAGACTTGAGAGCAAGATCCAGTTTACAAGGATCTTGTGCCTGTTATTGAGCCACATCCCATGTAAATATTCAAAACGGTCCTCTCATTTGTTGTTTTCATATACATACATGAACCACTACTAATTGTTTCATGGTACAAATAATGGTTAACATCTTCAAAGTAAATTACTTATTTCATGATCAAGCTTCAAATGAAGCTCCCAATTTTAGGTGATTATTTAACTGTTTACCTGGTACCATGTCAAGTTATGAGAAATCTGGAAGAAACACAATAATTGACAGCATGAAATGGATAAAAGAATTTTGCTTTATCTAAATTGACTTTCTTTCTATATCTCATATGTACATCAAAACTGTTTGCATGATCAGGTGGTCCTCTAAAAGGTAGATGCTAATCATAGGTCAGATTTGGATGATCTGTCTACAAGCTAAGGATATTCAGAAGAGAAACTCTGCTCTGGATGAATGTCCTGAACAAAGACTCGACTCCACTCTCAAGCTCAACAATGTCCAACTCCAACTCCTGTAGTTGCTCCTCCTCGCAAACAACTCTTCTCCTCTGGATTGTCTTGCAGAGAAGGAACCACTTGGTGGAACTTGTCATCGCAATTTTCCTCGACAGGAGATGCAATGAGGGTTCCAGCATTGAGGAGGCAATCTCTTTGGCTTAAGACAACATCTTGATCACCCTGCAACTTTGTTGATCTGCTGCAGTGGACTTCTTCCTGTTTTTCCTGAATTGTTTCTGTGCCTTCTTGGCAACGCGGGTATAGGACTGGATCTTGGTTTGGACAGCTGTATGATCTCCTCTCTTGAGTACAAACTGCATATCAAGGATAGTTTCCTTGAGCTTGTAGAAGCTCTCTTGAATAGCGTTGTAGAGATCAAGCATGACAAGCGATTACTCAAGCTCTTGCTCCACTGCTTTCCTTTTCTAAGTAACTTGGCTACTGGGTAAGCACACAAGGTCACTGGGGGTGCTGTAGTGCTGTACACTTCTCCAAGCTTTCTCAAACTGGTGCACATGTTGGTCGTAGAAAGCAAAGAGATGCTTGTCTTCAAGCTCTGCAACTGTTCCTCAATATCAATGTCATTGGAGCAAGGGCAAAGGCACACCAGCAGATCTGAGGTGGAAAGCCATGGTTGCAGGGGAAACCACACTGCTTTATTTTTCCCTAGAAATAGAATAGAAGGACGTAGAAGAGAGCTGCTTCAATGGTGTCTTCTCAGCTATGGTTTTGCCTCTATATATGCTGAAACAAGCTGAAGAAGAGAAGTTGCTGACCCTGTAGACAGCAAGAATCAAATTGACAATAATGTCTCATGCTGCCGCAACTAAGCCAGCTCCCTCCATGACATGCTGTACCTTTTTTCAGCTTGACAGGCATCTCTAACTGCAGTGGAGCTTATGATCCACGTGTGATGTCTTTGAAGTGGAGAAGTCATTTGCACAAGTGAATACTTAAATGTTTGGTTCAGATTTTGAGATTGGCGAGTAGTTGCATCCAAAGTAAAAGAGACAGAAGGAACAGTTGGCTTCGCAATTCATGATTCTTCATGTGCGATTGCATTGCTGGCATGTTTGGCCTGCCTGCTGTACTTACAGCATCTAGAATCTGAATTTTGTGATTTCAAGATGATCCGCATGCTGTCCAGATTTTTTATGCATTAGGTTGAACTGAACTGCATCTTCATGTTCCAAGTATTGGGAACATGAATCAGCATGGCAGCTTACTCTAGTGCTGTTTGATGTCATATTCGCTGTCTTATTCCATCTTCCAGAAACTGGCATGCTATCTGCTGTTGAAAGAAAGATCCAGTTTACAGGGATCTCGTGTCTTCTGTTGAACCACATCCCATGTGAATATCAACGGTGGCCATATCTGTTGGCCTCCGGATCTTCCACACGGGTAAGCCGACCGCTCACCGGTGTTGCCGACCACACGCTAAGGCTAGAGGTAGAAGAAGGGAGGGAGAACAGAACGCACACACACAGCACAAGCACCAGCGTTGGCCGGAGCTCTGCAGAGGAGATAGCAAAACTAAACTCGCTCACTTTTCTAAGTTGCAGTGGGAAGCTATATATACAACTTTACCCATCTAATCCTAGTGCACAGACATGTCAAACTGCCATGCTGCTACAGTGACTAGTTGTGACAGCAGGACTGATTTTGGCGCTTGCCCCTGCTGTGGCTACAGTACAGCAGGTGAGCCTTTCGGCGCCTGCCCCTGCTACAGTGCATCATCAGGGGAGCCCTTTCGGCGCCTGCCCGTGCCGCGCCGTACAGAGGAGAGCAGCAGATTACTTAACAATTCTTTCCCTAATCCTGCTGCTAACCCTAGAACCTCCACCATGCCGATCATCTTCTTCAGCTCCGTGAACCGAAGACGGCCGAGCGGCTTGGTGAAGACGTCCACGAGTTGCCGACTAGTTTCGATGAACTCAATGACGATCTGCCCTCCATCGACACAGTCCCTAAGGAAGTAGAACTTGACATCGATGTGCTTGCTCCGGTCGTGGAGAACCGGATTCTTCGCGAGGGCGATGGCGGGCTGGTTGTCCACCATCAGTGCTGGTGGGTGAGCTTCCACACCGGTCAGCTCGCCCAGCAGCCGTCGTAGTCACACAGCTTGGCACGCCGCTATAGCCGCCGCCACATACTCTGCCTTGCACGTGGACAGCGCCACCACCTTCTGTTTCAGCGACAGCCATAAGATTGGAGCCGACCCGAGGAAGACGAGCACGCCAGAGGTGCTCCGCTGTCCGTCGATGTCCCCCGTCATGTCTGCATCGCTGAACACGGTGAGCTGTAGCCCACCTCCGCCTATCTTGGGGAAGACGATCACCTGATCCACCATCCCCTTGACGTAGCGCAACAGCCGTTTTACCGCAGCCCAGTGATCCTCTCGGGGATCCTCCATGAAGCGGCTAACGTAGCCCACGGCGAACGCAATGTCCAGCCTCGTGTGGACTAGATAGCGCAGACCGCCGACGATGCTCCGGTAGAGTGTTGCATCTACCTTCGCCGCGGTACTAGCCTTCGTCAGCTTCAGCCGCTCTTCCATCGGAGTCACGCACGGCTTGCACTCAGCCATGCCGCTCCGCTCCAACAGCTTCAAGGCGTACGCGCTCTAACCGAGCATGAGCGCCTCCTTCCCCTGTCTCACCTCGATGCCGAGGTAGTAGGAGAGCACGCCGAGATCGCTCATTCGAAAACGAGCCGCCATCTTGCGCTTGAAGCTGTCGATGTCCTCTACACGTGCGTCGGTGACAATCAAGTCGTCCACATACACGCCGACGATGAACTCCTCCTTCCCCTGTCGTCGTGTGTAGAGCTTGTGCTCGGTTGCGCACCGTATGAACCCAAGCTCGCCCAGCGTGGCGTCAAGCTTGGCGTTCCACACTCGCGGGGTCTGCCGCAGCCCGTAGAGCACCTTGCGCAATCGAAGCACCCTGTGCTCCGCTCCCTTGACGGCAAAACCCGGAGGTTGCCTGACGAAGACCGTCTCCGCTAGCTCGTCGTTGAGGAAGGCCGATTTTACGTCCAGATAATGGACGCTACAGTCCTTCGCTGCTGCCAAGGCCAGCAACAGTCAGATAGACTCCATGCGCGCTACCGGCGCAAAGACTTCCTCTAAGTCGATGCCCTCGCACTGGACAAAGCCTCGGGAGACGAGGCACGCCTTGTGCTTGACAATGGCGCCGCGCTCGTCCCGCTTGACCTTATACACCCACTTCAGGCCGATCAGACGGCATCCTGGAGGTGGATTAACGAGCTCCCGAGTCTCGTTTTTCTCGATCGTCTTCATCTCCTCCAGCATTGCACGTCGCCAATTTGCATCGCACTCGGCCAGCACAACGTGGGTGGTTCCTCTGCACTGACGAGAAGCAGCTCTAGGTCATTGAGCAGCCGACCCGCCAGGCCTGAGGACCCTGTGCCGCCGATGATGTCGCCCAGCCTACGGAACCGCACCTCCTCACCATCGTGGAAGGCATCCACGAACTCAGTGATGTCGCTTGGAGGTGAGGCGAACTCGATCGGCGTCGATGGAGTCCCATGTTCCCACGAACTCAGTGATGTCGCTTGGAGGTGAGGCGAACTCGATCGGCGTCGATGGAGTCCCATGTTCCGCCGGAGTGGTCGGCACAGCAACTGGAGTGCTCGGCACCCCAGCTGCAGTGCTCGGCACTATTTCTGGACCGCTCGTCACCACTCCTGGAGTGGTCGGCACCACTGCAAGAGTGCTCGGCACCAGTCTTGGAGTGGTCGGCACCACTGCAAGACCTCTTGGCTCTGCTACGGAAGCGTTCGGCACCCGTCCTGGACTGGTCGGCACCACTATAGGACCGCTCGGCACCACTCCTGGAGTGCTCGGCACTGCCCTAGGAGTCTCGGCTCTGTTGCTGGAGTGGTCGGCACCTCCTCTCCAATGTCTCCACCACCGTGGATGACCAAGTGCTCGACGACGAAGGAGCTAGTGAAGCCGCTAGCTTCCCCCGTGCTCGGACTGTCCCAGTCCCAGGCCGCCTTCTCGTTGAACACAACATCGCGCGAGACAACCACCTTGCCTCCGTGTGGGTCATAGAGCCGGTATGCCTTGGTACCTTCCTCGTAGCCTAGGAGCACCATCGGTGTGCTCCTGTCCTCGAGCTTGGTGAGGACCGGCTTCGTCTTCCTGACGTGGCCGATGCAGCTGAATGTCCGGAGCAAGGACACGCTCGGCTTGTGCCCACAACAAGATTTGAACGGCGTCTTGCCCTTCAGGGCCTTAGTGGGCACGCGGTTTAGGATGAACACCGCCGTGGTCACCGCCTCACCCCCAGAACCTTGTCGGCATGCTCTTGGCCTTCATAATGGATCGAGCCATGCCGACCACCGTCTAGTTCCGCCGCTCCACCACGCCATTCTACTGTGGCGAGTACGGCGCGGTGTGGTGTTGCACCACACCTTGATCCGCTCAGTACGCAGCGAACTCCACCGAAGTGAATTTGCCACCCCGATCAGTCCGCAGCACGCGTAGCTTCTTGCCACTCTCCGCCTCCACGCGCGCTTTGAACTTCTTAATCGCCTTCGCCGCCTCGTCCTTGCTTGTCAGGAGTTGCAGCCACATGTAGCGACTGTAATCATCCATGAGTAGGAGGAAGTACCGCCAACCACCGTTTGTGGCTGGCGTGATTGGTCCGCAGAGATCGTCGTGGACGAGCTCGAGAGCGTCCGCCGCGCGATACTTGGCTGCCTTTGGGAACGGTAGCCTCCTCTGCTTCCCGGCCAGGCAGCTGTCACACAGCCCGCCTACGTGCTTGATGTGGGGCAGCCCTCGGACCATCTTCTCCAGCCGGCCGAGCGCGTCGAAGCTGAGATGGCCGAAACGGGCATGCCACAGCCACGGCTCCTCGGTGTGCCATGCTGCCAGGCACACCGGCTGCTCCACCTTTAGGTCGAGCAGGTACAATCAATTACGTGAGCGTTTTACCTTCGCGAGAAGACACCGCTCCTGATCCCGAATCTTCAGGGTCCCGCTCTCGATCAGTACCTCGCATCCACGCTCGTCCAGTTGCCCGATGCTGACGATGCTTGAACGCAGCTGCGGGATGTAATACACATCCGTCAGCGCACGGTGCTCGCCGTTCTGGCACCTAAAGATGATGGTGCCACGCCCTCGGATCGCCACCCTTGAGCCGTCACCGAACTTCACCGTGCCAGTCACGTCGCCGTCGAGCTCACCGAACTTCACCTCTCCCTTCTCCTTGGCCTCAACGTCGTGCAATGCACAGAACATCGCCATCAGGAGAGTCATCCTCATCAGCCTGTGCTAAATGAGCCTCAGCCTTCTTCTCCTGCTTGCGATTTGGGCACTCCTTTGCCCAATGGTCCGTCTTCCTGCAGCACTGGCAGGCGTTGGGGTCAACCTTCTTCTTCTTCTTCTCCGAAGAAGCCTTGCCGCAGCGCTTGCCATCGCCACCGTGGCTGGAGGAGGCTTCCCCGAACTTCTTCATCCGGGCAGCCCACTCCTTCTCTATCAGCAGCAGCTTGCCGCTGTCTGTCGTTGCTGTGGCCTGCTCTATGTGCTCGTCCACCGCCCGCAGACGGCTTGCCACATCCTCAATGGTGAGGGTGGACAAGTCCAGCATCGTCTCTA